ATGCCCATCTTCCTCTACTTTATATGGGACACCGCCACAGCATGGCTTGATAAGCGGTGCATCGGTGCGCACCCGGGATCCGAATCTGCAAACCCTTGGGCTGCCGAACTGGAGGGCTCACGCTTAACTGCTATGCCACCGGGCTGGCCCCATGACCAAAGAAAGTTTGGATGAAAACATTCATTTTGTCTCTGTCACATTTGTAGAAATAACCATCAAAACAGAAGAGGAAAAAATTTGATCAAATATATGTATATCACACCTTAGTATATCAGTAATCCATTGGACAGGTCTAGCCTGGGGGCTAACATCATTAGTTGAGTAAAAAGGACCTCTTTCTTGTTTATAGTCATCAATGGGTTGAGCATCCTTCATAGGGTAGAAGTCTCCTTTAAATTCACTTGCCATTCCAGAGTGGGGAGGAATAGAAATTTAGCATCCTTCAGAATTGGATTTGACTTTCTTTTCCTCAGTGAAAGCTGGCATGGTTCTCTCACTCTGACTTCATGCATGGAGAGCTGGGCAACTGCTCTCTCACTGATTTACCTAGCAGAGAAGATAGACTAGACTTTTCAGAGACTCTGAACCCTGGAATCACTCAGGCATCCCGAGGTATGATCTCACCCATTGATCAAAGCCTTCTGTTGCCATTCCATTGTTAGAATTATGGAAACAGGTATACCCTCTGAAAAAACAAGCTCTTTCTAAAGTAAGAAAAGACAGAGCCACGTCCCAACTCAGTCTTTTTAGACACGTTTCTGAATAATTGGAATGGCATTTTCCTAACCACGTGGCCTTTTATGCCCTGATGATACAGCCATTTTATCATCCAAGAATGACATCGGGAAGTGATTTGAACCTGATGCCCAATTACTGGAATGAGGAGAATACATTTTTTCACCCAAACTCTCACCTCTGGCTGATGAATGTCGGCATTCAACACGATGATTCTAAAATATCCTTCTTGGCCCTGTTCTCAGATGCTTTCTAGGTTCTTCTTCAAATGGAGGTGGCATTTTATCCTGGTCTGTGCCCTGCTAAGGGACTGCAGTTTTCTTAAGAAGATGTCAATCTTATCTAGATTGTGAAAACATATGGCTCTGCACTTCATCAAAAGCAAAGGATGGCAATACTGCAGACTTCCATCTGGGACATTATCTCCATTTCACTGCTGTGTAATACCTTTCAAAAGCTTGCTAGAGGACAACAGTGATTTTGGTAATCTATGAGAGGAAGATGGCTCTGTTACTCTAGAACAGTGATTTGGGGCGAGAGAGGGACCTTTCTGCCGTGAGCATCACTGTTATATGGGCCAGTGTGACTGCTGGGAGAGGAGATGTCCTCAAGTCTGTTGTGGGAGGAAGAAGTACAAGGAACCACTGTTCTAGGAACTCAAACAGTACTTCTAGATTTTAAAATGTATCTTAGTTATTTAAGAAAATATGTTTGTAAGTAGCTCAAGTATTATGGTTAAAGTAAAAGCTCACCTTGACCAAACCTCCCATCCACAATTTTTTATAGCCCAGACACTCCCCCAGAAGAGAGCACTGTTTAGTGTTGTTATGTAACATTCCAGACACTGGATCTATTTATTCTCATGCTTTTATCAATACCTATGTAGTTGTAGAGTATTGTTTTCTAGTATCACAGTGTATGATTCTTTGGATCTGGCTGTTTTCACTATCCACTATACCTTATATTTCTGTGATGGTCCATAAATATCTATCTCATGTTTTAAAATGCTACAAATTGTCCATAGTATGGATGAACCATAGTTTATTTAGCCACTCCTCTGTTAATGGACATGGAGGTTCAGACAGCATTTTCAAACCTTATTTTAAGTGAATTCTCATTCAATCCCAATATATAAAACAAAATTTGTACTGATCTGCACCTCAGTTAAGTTATAACAACACAGTTTACTAATTTAGTACATAGTAACTTGGGCAAGGTGGTCTAGTGGTTAAGGTTTGGTGCTTTCATCACTGCGGCCTGGGTTTATTTCCCAGTCAGGGAACCACACCACCTGTCTGTTGGTTGTCAAACTGTGGCGGCTGCGTGTTACTGTGATACTTAATGCTATGCCACTGGTATTTCAAATACCAGCAGGATCACCCGTGGTGACAGGTTTCAGTGGAGCTTCCAGACAAGACAGGCTACGAAGAAGGACATGACCACCCACTTCCAAAAAAAATGGCCATGAAAACCCTGTGAATAGCAGTGGAACATTGATATAGTGCTGGAAGGTGAGAGGATGGTGCAGAATCACTGGGCTGTACACAGGGTTCCTAGGAGTCAGAATCAACTCGATGGCACTAACAACAAAACTTGGGCAAATTATCCATTTGTGCCTTGTTCATATACTTTGTGCCTCAGTTCCTTTGTCTGTAAAATGGGAATAAAAATAGTACCCATCTAATGGGATTATGGGAAGGATTAAATGAGTTAATGCATGTAAAGTGCTCTAAAGAGTGCCTGGCACGCTGAGAGCGCTACATAAGTGCCTGCTGTATATTTACAGCCCTGTGCTTGGGCCACGTTGTATTGGTCTCCATAGAATTGCTTTGGCCTTTGGCTCTATTATCCATTAACCTTTGACCTACTTTGAGGGCATCACAGGAAAGCACTGAGTTCTACTGGGCTCTGTTTACTGTGAGGATATCGTCATGGATGTTGTTTATCCCATTACACAGAGTCTCTCTGTGAAAAATTCCTCCCTTCCTTAGGAATAGTTATGTTTCTCCTAAGCAGGCGATTTGATTTTGCCATACTGGTCTGTGCATCTTTTACCTCATTGTGCTTCCCTCTTCCCATTGGCTGCCTGAGTGGATCCTTATTTTTCAGTCTGCTTCTAACATGTGTTATAGACTGTCTGGCATGCATTTTGTGTATTAACTAAACATATCATGTAACTTACTTTCATACTGTTCTGTTTTTTTTTTTTTTTGTCAACTAGTAAAAGTAGCTGCCTCTCTGGGTGGTTGTATGGGTAGACCTTTTATGATAATGAGGAACATGCTGCACTCCTTGACTGAGGCACAGTTTGTGGTGGTGGCTTGCTGGAGTCTTGTGGAAGGAGTCTTCCCTTTGGTCTTCTCTCCTTCATCTCCTGCTGGAGAAGTGGCAGCTGCCAGTGCTGGGTGTCCCATGCATATGCTGACTCTGGCACTGGGGCCGGACATGCCTGGATCCTTTTCTATCCTCTCTCTGCCCTGAAAATCACCATCATGCGAGTTCTTGGACAGAGAAACATTTGGCCTGTTCTTAAGAATTATTTTCCTATCTTGTTAGGTTCTAAGAAAACGTAGGTTATATGCTTCCATACTCATCAGACTTTGACCATATGAGGACTGGAATATTAATTAATGTAACAACAATAAACTGCCATCAACACAAAGAATCATTTGTGATTGTTAAGGCCCTTTGTCTATGGTATGAAAGAGCTTCCATAACAATGAAGGAGATGCAGACTGGAGAGAGGCTGGAGTAAAGGCAGTGGTGTGGCAGGGGCACCGTGTCCCATCTAGCCTGTGCCTGGCACAGCTGCCCTGGGAATTAGCCCCTGGACTCGCCCTCCCACTGCACCTTGACAAACAGCCAGTGCTTCTTTCACAAGTGAGACTCCAAGCTTGAATGCAGAATGCTGGGACTGAGCCTGGCTCTGCCACCTGCCCTCACCTGGGCAGTGCACTGGGGAAGGGGTGGGACAAGGGAAGGAAGGAGGTGCCCTTTCTTAATGGAGGGGGATTGGAAAACCCATCCTGAAGGTTGGAATGTGGGGAATGGGCTCAGAAGAAGGGGGCCACCCCTGGGCCCCTGTGCCTTGATTCCTCTCTGACCCCCTTCTTTGAGCAATCATGACTTTCCTTTGGAGTGGAGAGTATCTGCTTCATGAACACTGAAGCATTGAGTTCCCTGGACTAGCTCAGATTATTTTGATTGTCACTCCTCCATTTAGCAATAAGATCTATGTTTTCAGACTGTGAAGCCTCTGGAGGGCCTGCCTTGGGCCTTCCATTTAGCATGGAGGAAAATAAATAAATAAAATTAGCATGGAGGAAGAGAGTGTTGGTAGTGTTGGGCCAGCTCAGTTCCATTAGCAGCTACCTCCCTCCTCCTTGCCTACCGCCAGCTCAGACACACTCAGAAAATGACTGCAGCTCTTGTTTCTAGCTCAGGGCATTTTATAAGATTCTGCCTCTTATCTGCCATTTTAAATTTTCTCCCTTTCCTCTGTTTTCCATAGTTCTGGCTACTTTCCATTTCCCTGTTTTCCCTCTGCTTAGCCCTTTGCGATCCCTCTGGCTGTCGTTTGGGTTCTTCTCAAGACCTTTCATCTCAGCTTGCTTCTCTCAGCTCTAGCACTGCAGAAACACAGCATGCCAGCCTGGCTGCCAGAGCCCTTATCGAGGGTGGGATTGGGCACTTCTGGAAGGGATGTGTGAGTAGCTGAAGGGCCGTGCAGTTGGCCTCCCCTACCCTCTGTGCTCATTGACATGTTCAGGACAGGCCTCCATGCTGTGAGATGTGCCTTGGCTCTGGAGAACCCTGGCATGAGAGTTAGGAGATACCAACATCTATGCAGGAGTTGTTCCCACAATAGTTCCTTGGTGAATGGTACCAGCTCCCCCATCTCCTCAAAGAGGAGACCCGTATTGCTGTTGGTGCCTCTGGCAGGCTGTGCCTCCAGCTAAACCAGACCCAACACGTCCAGTCAAGTCAAGCACCGCTGGGTCTGGAGCTCCCTTGAGGCCTTCCTGGCCAAGGGTGAGGTCATCCAGGGGGTGGTTTTGTGGTTTTGCCAACTTTCAAGACACACCTATCAATGGCATCTGGTCTGGTCCTTCTTGTAGTAGTTTTGAAATCTTGTGGTTTCCTGTTTAGGTGGGTGGTTTTGTACAAATAATCAGTGAAACCGTCCTCACAAATTGTATACTTCATTTGGAATTTGGTAAGATGTTTTTCCAATCTTTGAAGTGTGTTTTTTTCCTTCCCTTTAGTCCCAGGTAAATCACCACGGTGCTGCTAGTAATGAAACGTACCAGGAACGCTTGGCACGCCTAGAAGGAGATAAGGAGTCCCTCATATTACAGGTGGGTGCTTTTTGATGGGAACCAGCTTATCCTGTCACTTCCAACTCTGTAGCTGCCCTAAATAGGAGGGAAGTACAAGGGGTTTTCTCTGTTGGATTTACCCTGCTCCCAAAGAATGTTTTTAAAAAAACTTTTCCTGAAACAAAGCAGAAAGCAACGGGGGGCACCGTTTAACTCTGGACTTTGCTTTTGGGGGCTGTGAATGCGTTCACTTATTTATCGTGGACACTGAGCACCCGCCTCTATACCCTGGAAGCTCTGTGGCCAGGCTGATTAATGAGACCCTATCCTCCAGGAGCCCAGGAGTCTTGCAGGGGAGATAAGATATGTCCTTATGTCACTAATAAAACAGAGCCATGAATGATCCAGGCCTAAGGGTGAATACTAACGGGATCAGGCCCAAATCATTTGGGGCTGGATCTAGACTGATCACTTTGAGGCCAAATCCCCTGGAGCTGGTAACATGGGCTAATAAGCCTTTTGATGACTTCCTTGCTTTGAAGGGAGGAACTCCAAAACTTTTCATGGAGAAAGATAGTCAAAGGAGCACTTTCAGTTCTGAAAACTTGCATTCCTTGGTGGGACATAAAGTTGAGCATTCTTATGGGAGCCTTTTGGTGAGGTAGCTCTCACCTGCATCAGTCAAGCATCCAGGTCTGGTATGTATCAGACACTGTGATTGATGATTTAGAGATTAGTAAGATTAATATCCCAATCCTAGCTCCTTAAAACCTTGAAGGGTGGTGGACAAGACTGGTAGTGGAATGGAGGAGGGTGCAGGTAGGGTTCCGGAACCTTCCCCAGACTGTGGGCTTTAGCTTAGAGCACTAGAGTTAGCACTCGAGTTAAAGAGGCTGCAGTATGTTTGTTTCTTTTTTCTGTCTATTTTACCTTATTTCTTTTATTCATGTCACTTCATTTTATGAATGTGAGAGTAATAAATGATTATTTTAGAAACTTTGGAAAGTGAAAAAGAGTTTAACATTTGGCATTTTTTTCCAGACTTTTTTTCCTATCCTGTCCCTATTTTAAATAATTAAGCTCAGACCAAATATGCAATTAAACAGTTTTGCATCCTCGTTTTTTTTTTTTTTTTCTGCACTTCATTGATTTGTTCTTTAAAAAATATTGGAGTGCCCACAACTTGGCAGACACTGGTTTTAGATGCTGGGGATGCAGATGTGAAAAAAACAGACTAAGTCTCCATTCTCGAGCTTCTGTGTATATGTGGTGTGTATATGTAGACAATAAACCAATACACAAAATATTTCAGGCGGTGATGAATACTATGGAGAAAAATAAAGCAGGATACGGATTGTGTAGTCAGGGAAGACCTCCCTAATACGAGGAGACCTGAAGGAAGGTAGGGAGGGAGTCACATAGATACCTGGAGAAGCACATTCCAGGCAGAGGAGGTGGTGGGTCCAGCACACACCCTGAGGGAGGAGTGTGCTTGGTGTGTGGGAAGAACAGGAAGGGGCCCTGTGGCTGGAGTTGGTGAATCTGAAGAAGCCTGGTGGGAACTGCCTTCAGAGAGGAAGCAGGGGCCAGATTACATATATAACACAGTATAGTGCAGACGTTTTGAGGGATGTATAATTTGAAACTCTACCCCAATGACCTGATTAATGGAGTGCCCAATTTAGAATTTTGCAGCAAACAATATGAAATTGCAAACTTTTGTACCAGACACCTTCTTGGCCGAAAGAACACATTCCTATTTAGAGGATTGCAATTTAATAAAGAAGTCCTATGTGATAATCTCTTTGACTCTCATGGTTTTTTAACAATTCCGAATTCTTGAATAATCCTTATTTAAATAATCCTAACACAACTGGGAAGCTGTTTATGAGACAAATCAGAAGTGGATCCTAGTGGTTTCTATTCCAGGAGCCTGTGGACAGTCTTTCAGAGTTGCTCTCATGTAACAACTGCTGTTTTGTGGTGGCCCTATGGAGCTGGTTAGACAGACCCTCAGCATGGTAGAGCCTCGTGCTTAATTCACAAGGCAGCTCAGCCAGACTGAATTAATTGGAGCCTTTGGCCCAGAATGTTTTCCTGGGTTTACTTGTAAAAGAACAAGGGAAATCACACGCAACAAAATACTTTGTTTCCAGGATTAGTTAAAAACAAATGAAACCAAAATCTTTTATATCTTCATTAGAATGTAACCTCTTAAGGCAAGGATTTTAGTATATATTTTTTTCACTTCTGTATCCCTCCCATACTTTTGTATGCTAGGCATAATTTTAGAAGGTCAAAAAAATATTCTTATTGAATAAAGGTCACATTCTAGGATCTTTATATATTTTATCCCATTTTCTACACCTCTCCATTCATAATACTTAGAGTGAGTATTAAGGTTCATAAGGACCCTGCTGCCCTGTGTATCTTGAGTCTTAGGTGTGGCTGAGCTCCAACCTATAGAATGCTAGAGACTACATATTATGCCTCTGGGTGCCGCCAGCACGTGGCCCCAAGGCGTGGTGCAGACTATACAAGTGTTAATCCTCATAATAGGCTTAACCATAACACATCCTTCCCAAACAGAAACTCGGGAGGGAACCCAGGGAGCAAAGGCCCCCCCCTGCAATCCTGCCCTTTTGAAAGGAGAGTTAGTAGTTGAAAAGGCCGGGACTGCTGATAGTGTTCTGCAATAAGGAATAAAAAATGAAAACCCACAAAGGTTTGTGTTTAAGATGTGTCTAGTTAGCAGAAGGTGCCCATTTTTGGATTATAATTGAAATGTTCGCACACCATGCATCAACTCCAGGAATATGTTTCGATCATTAATCACCTGGGAACATAATGGAAAGCTTGAAGTAGCCTTATTAATTTAAATTAGTTCCTCTGTAATGGGGAGCTTTGTAATTCATAAAGTTTATTTAAACACTCATAAGTGGATTCACATTAACTCTTTCATGCTCTAGCTATCATTCCTGTATAGAGTGAGAAAAAATTTATGATAATCTATACGTAAATAGCAATGACTCAACCATTGGTTAAAAACCAAAAAAGTCCAAAGGCTCTCAATTTACCAGTCATTGATTTCTTTAGTTTTTTGGAGGCCACCCATTTGCTTTCTTCATCTTCCTGCTCTGAGGTACGTTTTAATAAAAAAAAAGAAAAAGGATCCTGGGACAGTTTGCTAATGGAGAAGGCTATGAAAATCTCAGTATGTATTTAGGGTATAATTTAAATGACGTTGTAAATGGATTTTTATTGATTAATAATTCCAGTAGATATTCTCAGTGTTCTTCAGAAAGATGACTTTTTTTTCCTGCCACTGTATGTGCAGTGTGGCTTGTGTATATTTATGACTTAGAGTCATGTTTTGGCCTGTGAAGCACAAAATCCTTTCTGGAGCCAAGTTTTGTCAGTGCTAATACATGCCCTTTACGTCCCACATTCCTTAATTGCTTCAGAACACTCGCCTGATAGGTGCGCAGTCCTCACACCCTTATGAGAGAGGTAAGGTCATTGGTTAGTTTCCACAGAAGTTTAGATTGCTCTTCTGCACGAGGTGGCAGAAGCCCTGGCAAGCCAGCTGAGTTATGCCTTGAGGTCGGGGCTGCCCGACTGAGCTCTGGAAGAGGCATAAGGAGCAAGAGCCCAGCCCAGAGGCAGCTCTCCTGGCTGTTGGGTGTTTTTCTCTTGAGTCTGTCAAGAGCAGGAAATGTGACCAGCGTCATTCAGGCAGTGGCTGAGACTCCCCCGCAAGGTAAGAAAACAACGGGAGTTTCCTCCAACCAGAACACTCTCCCGACCTGCCACTCACCAAAAAGGAAAGCCGTTCTTCTTCTATGAGACTCAGTGGTGTGGTTTCACAGCTCACCTCCAGTGGGGAGCCGCTCCTGCTCCTCCAGCATTGCTTTCTTTCCTGGAACAGGTGAGTGTCCTCACAGACCAAGTGGAAGCCCAAGGAGAGAAAATTCGGGACCTGGAAGTGTGTCTGGAAGGACACCAGGTGAAACTCAATGCTGCTGAAGAGATGCTTCAACAGGTAAGATGGGGTGGGGCTGCGGGTCCTCGGGTTCTACAGCAGCTCAAGTGTTAAAGCCCCTTGCTATGTCCAGGTTACAGCTCTCGCTGCCTACTTTCCCATCCTGCCTGGAGGTAGGATTGGCTGCTCAATGTGTTGTTTATACAGCAGGTGAAACCAGCCTGAACATTGAGAGTTGCAGAGCGGGGAGGGCGCAGAAGGGCTGGCCTGAGACCTGAGATGAATAACCTGTTGGGCTGGTTAGACAGATTCCCAGGCAGCACTTTCTCTAGGCCTGGTTCAGAGAAGGAGTGCGCTGCTGGCACTGTCACCCTCATCTTCTCACGTGAACCACGGTTTGACTGCGAGTGGCATCTGGGGTTTATAAAGTCAGTTAATCAGCTTATTTTGTGCCCGTTTCCCCCTCTGTTCCCCTCTCGCTCTGTGTAGTTTTCTTTGATAAAACTTATTACATAATAATATTTTAATATAATTTAATACATATCAAAATGAAAAAAAAATTAGCTGCTCTCCTACCATTCAAAAAAAATCTCTTAACTATCTTCTGTTTCCTTCTGGTCCTCCTTGCTATGTGTACATATAATTTACAAAGCTCGATTCATATCAGAAGTACAGTTTAGTCCTCAGATTTTGTATGCTTGACATCAGAGACTGAATTTTTTTTTTTCGTTTTTAAGTTTTCCTGTATAGTTGTCCTTACTCTTACTTATAGATATTTTTTTGAGTGAAAGAATCATAATTGGTTTATTTGACTCTGCTGTTCTTGAATAGTTTTACCCTATTGTAAATAATGAGCTGCAGTTTTTAGGAAGGGGTGTTGAATTTTTATCAAAAGTCTTTTTAGAATCTGTTGAGAAGCTAATTAGGAATTTTATTTTATAAAATCTATTTTAATGTATATCTAATTAATAGGTTTCCTTAACTTGCATCATTCTTACATTTTCAGTTATTTTGAAAAATAAACCATGACTGAAGTTGATGTGTATATGCTCTGTAGCTCCTGGTGCAGTACTTGGTACATACAAGGTGCTCACTAATTATTTAAGAACAAGTCAGTTCCTTAAAAATGAGTGGGTCCAATTAGGTGACTGCTTATAATCTTTCCCCCAAAGTTCTTTTTTTTATTGCCGTGATCCAACATAAAATTCAAATTCTTTCTCCACAGAATAGTAATGAACACAGGCTTTGAATTTGACCTTGGTCTTAGAATAAATGTCTTAGTTTCCAGGTGTTTCTTGGTTTGGTTTGAGCACATTTGAAGAACAACAAAAAAAAAGTCAGTATTTTTATGCAAATGTTTATAAAAACTCGTTCTAACAGCTCAGAAGCTGTTATGAGTTATCTTTTCATTGCTGATTAATAAGTTACCACATATCTTGGCTCCATTTGATTTTCTGTTTAAATTGTATGCCATTTCTCTTGCTCACCATATTCCGTGAAAATCTGAAATGCAATAGAAGTTGAGTCTGTCTTTCTTTTTGTTTATTTTTTAAAGTTGGTCTTTCTTTTGAAGACCCAGGAAAGAAGTTAGCTTGATAGAAAAATCTCAAATGGCAAGAAAGGATTTTCACCAAGAGTGCAGAGGGCTGCCCACTAGAGTGTATTTTCAAGGCTGCACAAGGTGTGGTTTTGAGGTGGGGCTGAGGGAGGAAGATGATGGAGTGTTACAAGAAAACCCAGACAGAGACCAGAAAAATTTGAATGTGGAAGAGAACGAGTCAGAAAAATGTCAGAAGGTTCATGTTTCAGAAAGGCAGTGCCTGGCGAGTGACCATGTCATCAGAGAGCAGAGAATGGCTGCGGTATGGTGCTGAGTTCTCTGACCGCCTGCCCTGGGTGCTTTTCCAGGACTGCTCTGTACCCCTCTCCATGGCAGTGTTTCCACTCTCTTGTCAGAGTCTCTGTGCCAAGGAGTCTGATGTTGGTTCCCAGCACCACCTGGGGGAAGCTGTCTTGTCCTTCTAAGCCTTATCTCATGGACTGGATTTTAGACTTGAAAAGTTAAGCTCAGTTATCCTTTATGTCCTGTGTATCCTAGATCATCTTTCTTGTATGCTATGGGTGAGGTGAGGTAGCAGGATTGTGGTTTGCATGTATGATAGAGGTGGATGTCTTGGCTTGATATATCTTGGAATGTGGCAAATAGCCACCTCTGGGGTTTAAAGATCTTCTTGAAGTTAACCAAGTTGTTTTTATGCCCATAACTTGCACTGTGTTCTCTCAACCTTTCAAGGGTAAAATGAAAGGTGTGTGGAATACTCCTTTCTTGGCAAATTCGGATCTCATGTCATAGGACGCATTTGAGCCTCAGCTCCCACTCATGTGTTTCCTGGGCTTGGTGGTGCCTAAGCTCGAGATTTTTGGGTTCTCAGCTCCAAATCCCAAGTTGAATGTTCTGCTGCACAGGCTAATACTTTCCTGAAATCTTCTTGATGATGTTTGAAAACTTAATTCTTGCGCCATAGCACTGATGCGATGCTATCTGTGGCTTGGATTACGTATGTGTCCTCTGAACTGGGGGCAGGCAGAGACTTGCCTGGTTTGACTGTGATATCCTGGACCGCAGGGCTCTTGGCTTCTGGTGGTAGGAGCAAGAATGACTCATGACCTTGAGGCAGAGAATGGAGGCAAACAATTACCTCTTTCCGCCGGCCCTCAGAGACCATTCCTGCCCTGAGCAAAACCTGGCCTCCTGTTCAAAGGCCTGAGGAGCTCTGGAGGAGATGCTTTCACTGTCTCAGTGTGGGGCCTTCTGACTGCCTATTGACACTGCTTCCCTTGGGTGTGCTGCTCCTGCTAACCCTGTACACTGAATGCGTCCTGTCTAAAGGTGGCAGCTGCTACCAACTCTGGCTGACTGCTCATGTAGGCCCAGGGTTGCTAGGTATTCTCATTTTTCACAAGAAGCTGGAAATCTAGATTTAAAGAGAAGTCTTTCTATTTTAAATGAAAGCAACTAATTTAAATGAAAAAAAAAAAATGTCGTGTAAACCACATGATACACACCTTCAGGCCAAGCCTGGCCCACAGACCTCTAATCTGCAGCCTCCGCTCTAGACTCTGCCCCTCTTCGGCTGGAATAGCATGAGGGGGACTGAAAGAAACCCAAACTCAACCAGCATAGCCCAACTCTGTGCTTCCATGGACTCTAAACCCCACTGAGCCGTCTCTCCCCACAGCTACTCTCCTGACCAGTGTCAGCCTCCCTCCAAGAGCCCAAGAGGGAAGGGAGTTAGTTCCCCACACAACTCCTGAGCCACACATCCCTAAGCCTGGCCTGGCCCAGCCCCTGCTAAGTGCTGATCTCTCAGCTCCGTCTGTTTTCTTCATGTGTTAACCCATCTGGTCTCCAGAAAGAGAGAGCTTGAAGACCCTTGGGGTTAGACAGGAAAACCAGGACCAAACAGAATCAGCACACAGGCAGGTCCAAATGAATGGCACATAGATTATAGACACATTTGAGGGCAAAATATTTCTTGTCTGCAGCACGCTGCAGGATGCAGGGTGGGAAAGGGGCAGCTACGAGCATCTCTTGGGGCTGCCTATGGAAGTACCTACTTTGATATGGTCTCAGACTCACTGAGCATGTCTGAATTCCCCAGGGAACCTTCCTCATTAGGAAGAGATATTTCCTGGGAAATGTACAAGTGGATCTTCAAAGGGCCAGAGCCGGAGTCAGTTTTCACTGGTCTGGGGTAGTCTGAGCCACTGATTTTGGTCTACAGCTCACAGGGCTGAGCCTTGCCCCTCTGTTCTTAAGCAGGTCAGGGTATTTCCAAGCTGCCAACCTGCATCTTTGAGGGCTGCACACTAAGCTTTCCAAACCCAGGGCCCACAATAGCACCCCAGGAATATGGGCATGGACCAGCACCCTCCTTGTTGTGACTGGCTCAGACCACGTTGGCAACAAAATCTCTTGTCACAGGGAGGGTTCCTCATGGTCTGTTGATATATTTGAAGTCCCTGGTGGCTTTTTCTAAAGTGGCCTCCATGGGCTCTCTGGCTTCCAGTAGGTTCCTGCACAGCAAGCTCCTCTGCCCCTGATCATTGACCCTTCTCCAGAGGGTGAGGTTTCGGGGAAGAAGCTGATGCTATTCAGTGGATAAGAAGTTTTATACAGAGCTGGCAGCCAAATGGAGCACTTTCCAGAGACTAGTCATTTACAGTGTAATCTATGTCAAAAGCAGAAACAACGTTCAGTGCCAAAGAGAAGAAAAGATGCAAACCTTCTTGTGAGGACATACCTCAGCTTTTGGGAAACCTTAAAGGACACCAGGCTCTATTTCAGTCCTCCTACCTGACCCAGAGTTCCAGGTGTTAGGCAGCCTCATTATTTTGGTTGCCTTTTAGGTGAGGTGTGGAGAGTGACAAATTCAGAGGGTTTGGAGTCAGTGGACATGACTTTCTATAGATTCACTACTTGCCGTTAATCTGGGAAAGCCAATGAATCTGTGTTTTTATTTATAAAGAATAGAGATGACAATGTGGACTCTACATTGCCCACCTCTTAGACCTGTAGTACAGTTATTCCAGTTTGGTTAAAATTGAACTATCACACAAATGGCCAGTGTAAGTCAAGACACTGAGCCGGGGGATACAGGTCTAAGACACAGGTCCAGTTCCTGCTCTTGAGTTGAGTGAGGGAACAATGGGCCCAGATGTGTGAACTCAACAGAGCATTGTCAACACCTGGGTGATAAATTTCGCAAGAGCACTTTTAAGGAGGTATTTCTCTCTCAAAAAGAATATTAAACAGAGCTGTGTATGTGATGCTATGGGAGCACAGATCTGTCTGAGGAGGCGAGACACTTGAGTCATGAGTGAAGAAAACAGGGATGTCCAGTTATTCCCTAAAACTCCCCCTGGGAGATTTATAAGGCAGAAATAACTTCTTTCCTCAAGTGTATCTCATTTGGTGTTGGATCTCCAGACCACACTGTGAAGTGGCGTGCTTTACCCTTCCTACAGATAAGGGGACTGAGGTACAGAGAGGTGATTTA